GGGAGAGGTGGACACACTTGAAGGGAGAGAGAGGCTGCAACTAGATCTAGACAGACTACAAAAGTGGGCAGATGAGAATAGAATGGGGTTCAGCATAGACAAATGCAGGGTGCTGCACCTTGGGAGAAGGAATCCACAGCATACATACAGGCTGGGGAGTTCCCTTCTTGAAAGCACAGAGGCGGAAAGGGATCTTGGAGTCATTATTGACTCCAAGATGAACATGAGCTGCTAATGCCAGACCTCAGCCAGCAAGGCCAGCCATACCTTGTCATGCGTCGTAAGGTGCATCTCAAGCTGGTCCAGAGAAGTGATACTCCCCCTCTGTGCGACTTTGGTCAGGCTGCAGTTGGAGTACTGCGTCCAGTACTGGGTGCTGCACTTCAAAAGGGATGTGGCCAGCCTGGAGAGAGTTCAGAGGAGGGCCACCTGTTTGGTGAGAGGGCAGCAGGACAGGCCCTACGAGGAGAGACTGAAGGACCTAAACCTGTTTAGCCTCAGCAAGAGGAGGCTGAGGGAGGACCTGGTGGCTGCCTACAAGCTCATCAGGGAAGATCAACAGCAAATAGGCAGAGCCCTTTTCTCCCCCGCACTACCTGGGGTGACAAGGAACAATGGTAATAAGGTGATGGAGAATAGGTTGAGGTTAGAGATCAGACGGCGGTGATGGAGAATAGGTTGAGGTTAGAGATCAGACGGCAATATTTTACAGTTAAGGTGGCCAAAATCTGGAACCAGCTTCCCAGGGAAATGGTCCTCGCCTCTACTTTGGGCAAATTCAAGAGGAGGTTGGATGATCACCTGTCTAGGGTCTTGTGAACCCAGCATTCATTCCTGCCTGTGACAGGGGGTCAGGCTAGATGATCTATTCAGGTCCCTCCTGACCCTAGCTACTATGAAACTATGAAACTTATGAATGTCCAAATTATGAATGTCCACTTCCTCAAGGTATTCCCCATCTGATCCACATTGATTTTAGGCCTGTCACCTGCTCCCGGTTGTTTTGTGCCGTTTCTGACCATGCAATCCTCCTGGGAGGGTGAAAAACCGGTGCAAAAAAGTAATTTAGGAGTTTGGCCCTTTCTTGGGCATCAGAAGTCAGTTGCCTCATTAGATCTCTCAGGGGCCCAATGCTATCCTTGTTCGTTTTCCGGCTTCCCACATATCTGAAGAAGGACTTTTTGTTGTCCTTGATTCCCGTAGTTAGCCTAAGTTCAGTTTGTGCCTGAGCTTTCCTCAACCGCTCTCTATACGTGCAGGTGAGTGCAGAATTAATCCTCTTTGGTATTGCTTCCTGTTTTCTAGCTGGTATAGGCTGCTCTTTTGAGCTTAATAAGGTCCAAGAGTTCTTTATTCAGCCATGGGAGCTTCCTTGCCCATTGACTGCATTTCTTGTAAGATGGTATGGCTTTGCCCTGTGCAAATGACCAATCCTCATGTATTCCCTTTTTGGGGGGAGGGGGCGGGGGGAATGGCCTGTAATTGCCTGACTGACCAATTCTCTCTGTTAGCAAAAGTCAGCCTTCCCAAAGTTTAGGACTTCTGCTTTACTGCTGGGTTTGCCTGCTCTTTGGTGAACTAAGAAGGTGACCAAATCATGGTCACTTGTCACCAAGCTTCCCATCAATCCGCAGATTGCTCACTAGGTCCGTCCCATTGGCCAGGACCAGATCAAGCAATGCCTCTCCCCTAGTCGGCTCATAGACCTCCTAGGTTAGGTAGAGGTCATCAGTGCATGTCAGGAAGCTATGTGACCTGTCAAATTTGGCCGTGCGCTCGTCCCAAGAGATGTTAGGGAAGTTGAAGTCCCCCATGGTGATCATGAATCAGGAGCACGCGGCCTTGACCAGTACCCTGTTGAATTCCCGATCTAGGTCTTCCTCTTGGTGGGGAGGTCTGTAGTAGACTCCTGCAAGTAAGTCACCCTCCCCATGTTCTCCTCGTATCTTGACCCAGAGGGTCTCAAGATGCCCTTCCTGGTTTGGAAACTCATCTGCAGTGAGGTGAGATGATCCTCGATGTAGAGAGCTATACCCCCACCCCACTTCCTGACCCGGTCTCTCCTATACAGGTTATAACGCTCTATTGCCACTGACCAATCATAGGTGGAGTCCCACCAGGTCATAATCATTTTCACATAGAAGGGCGAGTACCTCATGCTTATTTCCCAAGCTCCTGGAGTTTGTGTACAGGCAATTAAGTCTTCCATGAGAAGCCCAATGTTTCCCTGAGGGATGAAGCGCGACCTTTCCTTAGTTTGCCCAAGTTATTGGGGCAGTGCAGTACAGGTGGACTGCACCTGCACTGCACTGCCTGGGTGAGCTCTTCTGCATGTGCCCCCTGACCCTCCCCCCTCCCTGTACCCCTGGCCAGCTCCCAGGACCTAGTGTGCAGGCAGCCACAGCACATACATGTGTGCACCCCAAAACCCTACACATGCAGACTATTTTGAGCTATTATGCAATTGCCTCTATTTGCACTACTCAAAAACAAATCAGGACAAAATTTGTTTTTAAATAAAATTAAAATATGTTATAATAGATGTTTAATTTTTATTATCTGATTTGTTTTTTATCTGTGGCTTGTTAAAATGTGGGCCTCACACAAAACCTTTCAGAAGGTATCAACAGCTCACCAAAACTCATATAAGTGGGCCTTGAACCAAAATAATTGCCCACCCCTGTAATAGAAGAAAGTATTTTGGGATGCTGCTTATGTGGAAGATGGTATGTAAAGAGTTACATTATAGTCTAAAGCCTATTTGATATACTTCATAGAATTTAGGGTGGTACCAGAAGAGATTATTTGGTAGGAAAGTCTCTGAAGTGTTGGGCAAGGTGTGTGGGATTTTTTATTTATTTATTTTTTTTGGTGGTCTTTTATTAGACCAGCTGTATAGTTGGGAGAGACATTAGACAAGTATTCAGGCATGAAGTGCCCTTCTTCAGGTCTTTGTGCCTGAAAGCTTGTCCAATGTCTCTCCCAACTATACAGTTGGTCTAGTAAAAGATATTGCCAAAAAAACCCTTACTGCTCACATTTTCTGCACCATTACATCTACAACACTGCGTCAGCTCTACTAGTTTGAAGGGTTATGTACCTTTGTGGGGGTGGCTTTTTGGAGTCCCGTGGGCACATGAATTCATGAAAATAGTTGGTATTTTTCTACGTGAAATTCTAGGTGAATGGCATAACACTTGTTTTCTTTCCTGTTTCTGGCAGGTATCACCCACGTGTTCTTTACATTGATATTGATATTCATCATGGAGATGGCGTTCAAGAGGCTTTCTACTTGACAGATCGTGTCATGACTGTGTCTTTCCACAAATATGGGAACTACTTTTTTCCTGGTACAGGTACAGAACCTCCACTGCCAGTGAAGAGCAGATGGCTGGGTCTCGTTTTGGTCTCTTTTGCAATCATTGCCTTCACATACTAGCATGAGATGCTGGGGTTCAGGACATGAGAGAATTGATGTGGGGGAGAAGCGGGTAATGCTGGAGTGATGGGGGAGTGGTTGGGTGATGGATATTAGGGCTGTGCGAAATGAGCCCTATTGGATTCAGATTTGGCCCAAATCAGGGACAGTGTTTCGGATCACTGCCCCTGATTTCATTTGCCAAATCTGAATCTGATGATTCCATGCTGATTCAGAGAATCAGCAATTCGGACATAGACACAGCTTTAAAAGTTTTTCTATATACCTCAAGGTACCAGCGTGGCTCGTGATCGCTGCAGTGGTGGGGCGCATGGAGCATCCCGCAGGAGCATGGGGGCGGTCTCTCCAGTGTGCTTGGCAGTGAACCTGGAAGTGGACCAGAAGTAGTTCTGGTCCACTTCCAGGTCTTCTGGGGAGCGCACAGGGGGACCCTGAGTGTTCCCCCAGACCCAGGAGACACCAGCTGCTGGGGCGGGGCGGGGAGGGGAGGGGGACAGGGGCTCTCTCCTGTGGAGCAGGATGTGGATCGGAAGTGTTTCTGGTCCACTTCCAGGTCTGCTGCCGAGCGCGCTGGGGAGCCCCCTGTGCTTCTGTGGGACTCTACATCTGCCCCAGCACTGCAGCATTCAGAGCCCCTGCTACCTAGAGGTATGTAGAGAAAACATTTAAAGCTGTATCTACGTCCGAATCGCTGAATCTCTCTGAATCGATTTGGAGAGGTTAAACGGTCCTCTGATTTGATTCGGATTTGGAGATTCGGCCACTGAATTGGACCGAATCTCCGCCGAGCTAAAGCTTCTCACAGCCCTAATGGATATCCTCCTGCAGTAGTTTGCAGTGATTTGGAAGAGATCTTTGTGTCATGGTTGCATCAGTAGGCTTAAATTTTAGTTTTCTGTTACCATGCCCATGATATGCTCAGTAGGTGTCATTCTGAGAGACAGCCAACATGGCTTTGTTACGGGTAGGTTATGCCTGACCAACCTCGTCTCCTTCTATGACCAAGTGAGACATCACATGGACAGGGGAGGAGAGGTTGATGTCATTTACTTGGATTTCAAAATAGCCTTTGACTTGGTTTCCCATGATGTCCTCATGACACAATTGGGTAACTGCGGCCTTAACAACCTTACGTCCAAGTCTTCAGAATCTGGAATGGACTCCTTCCAGAAGTAGTGCCATCACCTACTCTGGACACATTCAAGAAGTGTTTGGATGATCATCTTGCTGGGGTCATCTGACCCCAGCTGACTTCCTGCTCTTTGGGCAGGGGGCTGGACCTAATAATCTCACAAGGTCCCTTCCAGCCCTAATGTCCATGAAGTCTGTGAAATCTATATTTCAGAGCTGATCTTTGTGTGCCATGACTCTTACAATGTTTTTTAAACTTGAAAGCTTGCTAAAAAAATTTTTTCCAACTAATTTAAGTTGGTCTAATAAAAGATATCAGATTAATCCAAAGAACCATGTCTGCCTATGTCCTTAGACGGCTACAACCTATACCGCTATGATTCTTCTTCCTTTCTCTGACCAGGTGACATGTATGAGGTTGGTGCAGAGAGTGGCCGATATTACTGCCTAAATGTGCCTCTGCGAGATGGCATTGATGACCAAAGTAAGTAAAAAATATTCATTGTCATCTGCTGTCACTGTTGTCTGTTCTTTCCATTGATTCCATAGCCATGATGACAGCCTTTATTTTTCTCTAAAGGTTATAAGCACCTCTTCCAGCCAGTGATTAACCAGGTGGTAGACTTCTATCAGCCCACATGCATAGTGCTGCAGGTAGGAAAGCAAGCTGTGTGCACAAGCATTTTCCTTGCTTAATATATGGATAATTGCATGTTGTCGAATATATGAATCTATGTTCCCTGAGGGATATGGATGGGTGGGTGGGTGGATGGGTGATGGCCAGCTGACCTTTTGCTGGCGGCTCTGGTGATTGGATGGTCTACTATGGTCTGCATCTGAGAGGGAGCGCTCTAACTGGAATTAAGCTGTGCTTCTTCTGTTCCATAGTGTGGTGCTGATTCTCTGGGTTGTGACCGCCTGGGCTGCTTTAATCTCAGTATAAGAGGACATGGGTAAGTTCAGTAGGGATGTGGAGAGGGCATTTAAAAATCCCTGCTTGTAGTCTGAAAAAATAAACGTCCTTCACTGGTGAGATTCAAGCTGTAATCCTGGTACCTCAGCATCAGCAAAAGACTATAGGAATCCTATCCCAGTTTTTGGGATAGGAAAATCTCTTCCAAACTAGGGAATATGATTCTGCAGAAGCAAGCTCTCCTAGTTATGACTGGGGTCTCACAATGCTTTCTCCAGCAGTACCGTGCCAGCGTGCGTGAGTGCGCAGATTGAATTCCTCTCAGTTCATGGAGCTGGTTCCCATTGAGGCAGGTTGTGGATTGCCTGGGTTAGAAGCCCTGAACTCTGAGGGTATCATATAGATAGGTATGTTATTGGGTTAAGACTGGTGCTGTTTATGGAATGCTCTGATGATTTGCACTGATTGTGCTGCTTTGTATTTCTAGAGAGTGTGTGGAATATGTAAAGAGTTTCAACATCCCCCTGCTTGTATTGGGAGGAGGAGGCTATACTGTTCGTAATGTGGCACGATGCTGGTGAGTCTTTTATATGCTTGCTTAGAAATGCCCCATTTGTTACAAAAGGGGTTGAAGGGCCTACTCACTTGTAACTGATATGGGATTGAACTGGTTTGCCAGCAGCATGCAGTGGGGTAGAAATCATTTTTTTTCTGGATTGAGTAGCTTGTTTTGTATTTTAGGACTTATGAAACTTCACTACTTGTGGATGAAGCAATTAGTGAGGAACTTCCGTACAGTGGTGAGTTGGGGTCCTCCTATTGCAGTGTCTTCATTCTTTCCATAAGCTTAGCCAACATATCTTGATGTGTTAATGCATCAGAGACTTTGATGCTCAACATAATTAATGGTAACCATGGCTGGATGGAAGTGGTAGCCCTTTTAATCCTAGATCATTTGTTCTAGGTTTTTTTGCTTTCTGGTTCACATATCTTTAGGCTCTGGCAGGCCTTTCTGGAGAGGCATGTCCTTACTTGATATAGCATTCTAAATTCCCTCTACAACAAACTTTGTCTTCCTGTTGCTTTCCCCCGCGTCTGTATCTCATGGTGATGCAGTTGGTCTTGCTGTGCTCTTAAGGTGGAAACAGGTATCACCTGTCCTGACCTTTTTGCTGCCTTAAACATTTTATGGTGACATAAAGTGAAAGCAAATAGACATTATGTCTTTTGCTGTTCCACAGACGCCCAAATTTATGGCCAGGACAGAAGATAGTAATAATTTGCACCACCTTATTGCAGTAGACATCTGTTTTATGGCAGGAGAGCATAGGCAGCCTGGAGCCTGATCCTGCACACCTTGGGAGTTCCTGTTCAGGATTGGGCTCCACAAGCCCTGGGAGTATCTGCCTAGCTTTCCCTGATTACTGAGATGTGTCCCCGGGATCTTTGGAGTGTGTTGGGTAAGCAGGGAAAGTCGGGATTTTCCTGTTGAGGGAAACGCCAACATTCCCTTTTTACCCAGATGCACCCCGGAGATCTTGGGCATGTGACTCAGTAGGTTGGGATAACCAAGCAGGCGCACTCAGGGTTTGAGGGGCCCCATCCTGCTTAGGAATTCCCAGGGTGCACAGGTCCAACTCCTCAAGCCCTGAGAGAATGTCTCCCCCAATGTCCCACAGCATTAGTGGGCAACGTTCATTTTCCCCAAGCGAAGCAGATCAGCTGTGAGAGGATGTGTCCTAGCACAGCTTACCTGCTTCATTTGGGAATGTCTATTTCTAGTCTTAGTGGTACGGAAGGGGATACGCTATGCCTGTCTGCAGAACAGTGTTTTAGAAGCGTTGGTCACAGAATCCTCTCATCTTGTTCTTTAACTCTTTTTCTGGTTTCCTTGTAGAATATTTTGAATACTTTGCTCCAGACTTCACTCTTCACCCAGATGTCAGTACAAGAATTGAGAACCAGAACTCCAGACAGGTAAATGGCTCTGCCTGGTCTTGGATGCATGGTTTCACCGAGCCCAATGAAAAGATCTGTACTTGAAGCTGGTCCTCTAATAGCAGGTGAATTCCAATCCATAAGCTTACCTGGAAAAATCAAGGCAGGTCACTAGAGTCTGCCCTGCCTGGCTCAGTGCTTCAGCAACATTTTTTTTGTCTGGTAACTTCACAGCTGCTCTGCAGTGTAAGGAAGTTCCAATGGGTCCTTCCTGTATGGGAATGTTTGAAGGCCCTCTTACAGTTACAGAGTTAAGGTCTGTAATGACTGCTTTGGCCTCTCTGCTGCGGTTGAAAACCGTGTGTGTTACCTAAGTTGTGAGTGGTGCCAGCAGGTGTTAATGGGAGGAGTTTTGTCACTACAAACTCTTAGATCTGTTTCTGCTAATAGCTCTGTATTTTCTACCTAGTACTTGGATCAGATCAGACAGACAATATTTGAGAATTTGAAGATGCTGAACCATGCTCCCAGTGTCCAGATCCACGATGTTCCTTCTGACTTACTCAGTTATGACCGCACAGATGAGCCTGATCCAGAGGAGAGAGGCTCTGAAGAGAACTATAGCAGGTATTGGGTCTCCCTTTCCTGTTTTGGGAACATGAGCTTTCCTTCTACCCAACCCCTCCCCTTGTTACGCAAATGGCATAAATACCAACTTTAGGGTAGGTAAATAACATGGAGATAGACTTTTGCCTGTTGCCTTAATCTTGTGTATTATCTTGAGGCTTTTTTCTGGTGTATTTTCTTGAGTGTTGCACTGCCTTAAACTCCATTTTGTATTGCTCTGTAGCTTGACATAAGTGCTCAACCTTTCACTCCTTTGTATGCTGCATGTGTGAGGGAATGGGTGAGAGAGTGTGGCTGTGGAAAAGGAAAACACCAATTGGTGACTGGCTGAAGAATGCAGACAGATAAAAGACCAAAACAAGAAGAATCCGCCCCAGAACAGTGAGAGAACAACATCAATCAACCTTCAAGGAGGAACACAGTGTTGACACAGCGAAAGCTCAGAGGACTGAATGAATTGACAAGACTATAAAAGGTGGGGCAAGACCTATCAATTTTTGGGTCTTGTTCTGCATATCATTCTGGAGCATCGGTTCGCCTGATGAGACAGACAGACAGAAGCCCAGCTCCCACTCGTGATCAACTTAGCTGGCCACTAAGTTGACTCAAGCATTGATGAGACTGGTAATGTATACCAGCGCAGAACAGAAATGGGGGGGCGTGTGCGTGTGCGTGTATATTTACTAAGCGCTTAATAAATGTGGCATCTTGCTTTGCCCCCTCTTGCAAAGGTCTAGCTCTTGATTTTGAGCTAATTGGTTAACATTTAAGTGGTGGAGAATTGCGAAAGTGAGGTACAGAGGAAGCTCTGTGTTTTGTTGTTGTTAAGGTGTGCACACCCTCAGGCTGTAGAATACCCTGAGTCTTGGAGGGGCAGAGTTAGATCTCCCCTGCCGCACAGAGGGTGGAATTTTGTAACGGCAGCTATTATTTGTTGCAACAACTTGAGCTGTAGAATTCCCCAAGCGTATGGGAGAAGTTAGATTCTTGCCAATTAGGAGATTCAGAGATGTTTTTGTCTAGGAGAAAGGAGGAATCTAAGAACCAGAAACCTGGTGAGGAAGTTGTTGCACCAGTTTTTTTTTGTGTGCAGGAGAGGTTGTTTGTTACTGTTGACCAGGAGACTTTGTCTAGGTCAGGCAGAGTAGTGGACATGGTTACATGCTGTGGTCCGCTTGGGATTAACACCCCAACCTCTCCTCCCACCTTCTGCCTGCTAACCCCATCCCAATGAAGACAGATATAGTAGGCACCATTCATCTTCCAGTTTCTGGTTTCTGTCTGAGGGACTCTTTGCTAGTGCATAATTTTATCCCTTACAGAGCATGCCCCCATGATTGTACCAGGTCAGGAGATGCTTCTCTCCCTCCTTGTGCTTCTAGTTTGTCTCATCTCTAGATCTAGGCTCACTCTTGTTCCAAACTACTGGACAAGGCTGCCTCCCCTGATGTCTATCTGTCTTTTTTTCAGGCCTGAAGCTTCCAGTGAGTTCTATGATGGTGACCACGATAATGATAAGGAAAGTGACGTTGAGATCTGAGAGCTATCTTGTGGGACTTTTGGATGGTGGGAAGATCCCTAATTGGACACTGGTACTTGGTGGAGATAACAGGGACATGTGAGCCAGGAGAAAGTCTTTCCCTGGAGCTTCCCTTCATGTTTGATGCATGTGACAGCAGCATCACTGGGTTTGGCTGGCTATCTGGGGAGGCAAGCAGCAGTGGAATCTGGCCTTTATCTCTACAGTTCCTGAGGCCTCTGTCACCACTATGAAAAATGGAAATTCAAGTGGCATTTGGATTGATGCTGTAGTCTTTGTTCTGCTGCCATACAGCCCTCTTCAAAGCCTGGTCTTCAGTGGCTTTACCAAGTGGTCCTAGGCTAATGGAGGCTCCCAACACAGGAATGGAAATCAGTACTGTGTTGCTTAGTACTTTCCTTCCCCTTCACAGCATAACCTGATGCATCCTAGTCTCTCTAACCCTCTGCTTAAATAACAGATGTGAAATTCTCTGAAACTTCTGAGGGTCACTTTGCCAGCCTTTCCAGACATTCCAAGTTCCTGCGCATAGACAAAAACCCAGTTGCAGACAAAGCAAAGCCAATTTTGTGATGGTGAATAAGACTGATGGAGAAAGGTGGAGGAGTGTAGTCTTTCTCTTTCTCCTGAATAGAATTGTTTTGTATCTGCCAACAAGAACATTTGATAAATATATGTCTAATATACTCTTTTTCCAAGAAGCTCAGATTAGAAGCTCCAAGAATGCAGGAGTTTGGTTGCAGGAGTCCTGGGTGTGGTGTTGTGCACTTCCATCTCTCTTGTAACCTCTACGTACCTTCCCCACTTCATGCCCTTTTTATGAATTGGTGAAGATTTGGGCTTGTCACATGCTCATAGTAGAAAGCCTGCCCTCACTGATGATGCCCAGATGACTTCATTGTGTTTGGTGCTGAAGGAAGTGGTTCCTCTCATGGTTCATCTTTCTCCGCTAACACAGTGGAGAGAACTCTCTCCTACATTGGCCTCTTGTTCTAAATGCTGCTCTTCCCTTTCCTTGATTGTCTGCTGGTGTCTGTCAGTATTTGGAGAGCTGTCTTAGCTGTGGTGATAGAGTGGGTGTCACTTTCCTGCTCTCTGTACTTTTGTTTTACTAATTTTTTTAAACATTAAACAAAAAGATGGGGTTTTTTGGCTTGATTTATTGTGTTTTGTCTATTTAGAAGCTCATGCTCAGTTTCCTTCTATTGAGGTCCCTTCCGACCCTAACATCTATGAATCTATGATACCTGTCAGTAAGAGTACTTCTATTACCAAAGCACACTTGCTGTAGGCTTTGTCCTAGTGTCTTCTGCTGTCCTGCCTGTGAAAAGATCCTTTTTGTTTGTTTTTTTTAATACATCCTATTTGCCAGGTGAATTGAAAGCATTCAGCTCTCTTCTAAATGTGTGCCAGCCAGTTCTCTGCTGCAGTGCACAATGGTAAGTGTCAGTTGCTACAAAACTATATGCGATTCTCAAAAAGGGTAAACTCCCAAGGTTGGGGAATATAGCCTCCTATCCCTCTTCTTTTAATGAAACTAAATGTTAGAGGTGCACTGATACATTGGTCCGATATTGGACTGGTACCAATATAAAGAAAGTTGTCTGTGTTGACCTGATGGGGCTGATTTAATTTGGCTGATAAATGCCGGTGCTGCGCACAGCTGCAGCACAGCGTGGAGCAGAAGCGGCAGCATGGAGAGGTGCCTCTAGCTGGTAAATCATTAGGGGAGGAAACGGGTGTGGGGGCAGATCAACGCTTCCCCCATGGTGAGGGAGGGAGTAGGTGCTGCCGCGGGGGGCGGGGCATGGAACAGAGGCATGTCTCGTGGCGTGGGGGTGGCGCTCGCTGCTGCTTGCACCCCGGGTGGGTGGGGGAACATGTGCCCCCAAATCTGCACAGTGCGGAGCAGGCTGCAGCTGCAGGATGGAGCCACCGCTGCGTGGGGCTTTTCTTGCTGGGGGCTGGGCTGGGAGTGGGCTCCTGCGGCACTGGGAGGAGGCTGCAGCCACCCCAGATTTTGCCACAGCTCTGCTCCCAGCCCTGTGTTGTTGCCCAGCGCAGCCCTGGCTTTTCCTGGTGCTTGGGTGGAGGTGGGTCGCACCTGTGGTGGAGGGGGAGACTGGATGGTAAATGCTGTGCTGTCATTGGACAGTGGATCCTCCTCTTCCAGGTCCCCCTTCCTGTGACTGTCTGTCTCCCAAACTCCACCCCACAAGCTGCACCTCTGTGTCCGTTTTCCGCCCCCTTTCTGCCCCACTGGGCAGCATCTGCTCCTGCCCCCTTTCTCACTGCAGGGGGGCATTGATCTGCCCCCACATGCCCCTTCTCTCCCCACCTCCCCTTCCACCACACTGGACTTACCACCTGATGGCAGCTGTATCGGATCGATATTGGTCAATATGCGTCCTTAAATATCAGCTATCGGCCCCCAAAATCTCTATCAGTGCACCTCTACTAAATACTGTCTGAAATTGCTTTGCTGTCCCTTTTCTGAGGAAATTAATTGACCACCAAGATTTTCAGGGAGCAGCAGGCTTTTGTGTTAAGGACATGCTTAGAAAAGTTGTTTCAAAGTAATGGTTCTTGCTAGCCACAAACCTCCTAAAATTTTTGCTACTTAGTTTGTGTCTCACCCATTTCTAACTGGCATCTGTGCTGGGTCTCTCTATTAGGTCTGTTACTCTCTTCTTCCTCATGATATCTGGAGTGTAACAAGACTTGGGTAGGCTCTTCTCACTGAGATCTGTTTGTTAGACCAGGTGTTTTCTTAACTTTTATTTGCCAGATGAGCTATAATAGTAGGAGAGCTCAAGTAGTAAATAATTCTGTAATGGAGATGTTGCTAGTTCAATGTGAAGTGATCTCATAGAAGCCAGAACTGTTGGGTGTTTCATCTGCTGTCTAGGAAGTCAACTCTGCCAGTAAAGCTTCCTGAGTCAAGTTACCATTTTTTTCTGCTGCTGTGTTTGTACTGACAGCATTGAAGGCAAATGGTGAAGGCCTGACAAGTGGCAACTTGATCTGATCTGTTAGGAAACAAGCATCCTAAAAAGAACATATGTGGCCAGGTAATGCAACCAGTAGCCTGCAGGTAAAGGATAATGGGATGGGATGGAATGCAGCAGCTAAATGCCAGGGAATCACAGCTGTGCACACAGTGGGCAGTAATGCTAAATGTGACAGGCACATGATGTCCAGAGAAATTACCTCTGGCCCTGACTATTTCAGTCTTACTTGTGTTTAGCCTCTCCCCTCTTCCTCTCTGCTTCATAAGAATGAACATACCAGATTAGCCCTTTTGGTATATCTGATGTAGCATTCTTTGGTTGAAAGGGCACTGCTTTACAAAATTAGCTACCTATCCCTGTTTTTTAGGGGGAAGCAAGAAGTGAAATGCCACACCTGGAAGTACACTGAGGTCATCTTTACACATGCCCTGAGGGTCAGGAAGGACAGGGCACTTTAATTAGTGTGCTCTTGGGATCCTGTCTAATTAAAGCGCCCACAGAATTTTATGTATCCAGTATCCTGTGCTTCAAAATGGTGGCAGGGACACTTTAACTAAAGATCATTTGGCGAGCTTTAGTTAAAGCACCCCTGCTGCCTTTTTGAAGCATGGAGATGCTGAATACTGTCGGGGCCGAGGGGCTGTGGCCAGCAGCCCGGGAATGTGGGCCAGGGAAGTTGGCATGGCGAACTAGAATTAGGCACTGACGCGTGGAGGTTGATTAAAGATTATTTTACTTACACTGTAGATGGTCGCGGTGCAGGCAGGAAAACTTGCTTGGTTAAAGTTATAGATAGAAGAAAAGAAGAAAAAAAGAAAACTCGAACGATGAGAGCTCTTTAAACCAATACAAGAGTCCGTGCTGTGACTCTCAACGAGCGCGCAGGGCAGGGGTACGTCAAGGATCGTCCGGTGACGGGGAGAGACTCTTGATGGGTGATCAAACCACCATTCGGTCCGAGATTTACGTAGAAGTCCACGAGATAATCGTGGACTCCTTGCCGGAATTCTCTCAGATTTCTCCCGGAATTCTCGGACCGCCACATGGGAATAATTTAGAAACAGCCAATAATGGGGAACAAATTTGCATGCGAGCGGCGGGAACTCCTTTGCACTGGGGTTTTTCTCTCTGCAGCTGAGAATTGCACCGTGCAAAGAAAGCTCCATGTGGCGGGAAATAATTCTGCAGTGCCGAAGCGCGCACACAATCATTGGGTAATGACAAATACAAGAGATGCTGAGACTGCTGGAGCAAGGTAATTAGCATGCTGCAGCAGACTTGATTAATTGAGTCTGCTCTGACACACTAATTACAGCACATCAGAGCAGGCATCCTGCACGTTTTTACAGGCACTCTCAGTTAGTTGAGTTAGAAAAGAACCCAGATTTCTGATAGGCAGTACCATTCTGCTCTTCTAGGCTGTTTACAGACGTAGAAACTGCCCCCCCCCAAAAAACAAACAAACCCCCAAAACAACAAAAAAACAGAACCCCAGCATTTTACTTTAAAGCCCAGAGTGCTCCCGTGCTGAGCCCAGTGCATGCCCAAAAGAGGCATTGCGTTTGTAGGACCCAGCTTGTCCAAAGTCTGTATAGGTCAGGGCTTTAATGGGGCTTTTTTGGTGCTTTCATCCAACAGCTGATTGAAGCAGCTATTAGATAGAAGTGCCAAAAAGCCCTGCTGAAGTGCCTGATCTGTACAGACTCTGAGGAGTTGCTTCTTCCAGCAAAGCATGTTTTTGTTTTGTTTTGTTAACATATGTAAGCAGCTCCAGTCTGCCTCACACAATCAGTTAGTCCTTCATGTCTGATGTGATCTCTGGCCACGTTAAAGCAGACCGTTAGTAAAAATTAGTTCAGTGTCCTACTTGTGTCAGTGGTAAGTATGTGCTGTTGCTTCAGAAGGCAGTCTCTTCCTTTACAATGTATCGATCACTCATTCAAAGTACTGGTGAAATTCATTGCCAGCCCACAAAGACAGTCTCCCTGTCTGCTGCAGCAGGAAATGTTGATTTTACTTATAATAAATGCATTTTATAAAGTCACAACTATTACTGAGCCACTGTTCTTTCTCTTCTCCCCTTCCGCAATAGATTTAGATTTATTGTATTTGTGCATTAGTGATTTCTGTAGGTTGTTTGTACTCCTCACTTTTATTATGCACCCTGCTGCCTTTCTATTATGGGATAGTATGAGGAGCAGAAACTGATCCATTCTTTAGTGGGTCTTCAGTCTATGTTCCTCACAAACAACAGATAATCCTAACCTGCTTCTTTTCCCCCCGATTCCACTGTGGGGCATATCACAAGTATGAACTGGATTGTGTAGGCCTTCACTCTTTTCTAGACCCCAAACCATGAGTCTTTACTGACAGGTTTTGAACTAAGCCATATTTTTGAATGGCAGGCTTTGTTTGTGCTCTTTAAAAGTCTCTCATTTGGAAGCCATGTCTGTCTATTGAAATTTTTTCTGAGTTGCATCTCCCACTGCAACTCACTTGTCAGAGAGGAAGAAACACTCTGGATTAAAGAACCAGTCTAATTAGGCAGACCTATGCACATTAAAAACCAAGGCTTTGACATTAAATGATGCAGTGCTCACAGGACTGTGGTCTAAAATATGGGATGAGGCCAAGATATGGTAACAACTGAAATTAAATAAAGGATGATTTAATTATTTTTAGGAAATGTTTGAGGACAAACACTTGCACAGATGTGTATTGTTCTAATTACAGTTCATAATGGACTTAGCTTTCTGCTGCATAGAAAACCACAATTTAATGCATTCAGTCACTTAGCTAAGGGGTTGGGTTTTTTTGTACTGCTGCCCATATACAAGCTATTTCCATGTAAAAGATTAACACTAAAGTCCCTATAAGCTTTCTTAATGTCTGACTTCTTCTTTCCAGTTTTAGAAAGCTGTTTTAAAGTGTGGGTGTGGAGTATTTGGGAGGGGGGGTTGAGGGCCAGTCTTAGAAATATGGGTCTGGCTGAGGTTGTGAATGTCATTCTGTCAATAGTGGAAAAGGGGGTTTTTTGTTAACCTTTTTCAGCAGCTTCAGAAGGTGATAAAACATTAAAGTCTTCTAATCTCTGTCATTTTTTATTCCTCAGCCATAACCCCTTGACTGGGA